TTTGTGGAGATAAAGCTTGGCCTGCGATTCCTCAGAAAGCATGAGGAGGACCGTGCTCTTTTGGGAAATTGACACTGTTTGCCCCTAGCATTCAACAGATGCTTGACATCAGGCACAAATTCCAACGTCCAAAACGTAGTGTGCATCTATTAGGCTCAGACTGTAAGGATAATGTAGAATTGTAGAATATGCCTTTGGTTATACTGGCATCACTTTTTACACCAGGAGTAGCTTCATCACAGGCCTTTATACAATTCAAACTATTGGCTTGTTGGACAGACAAACAATTTAACATTACATCTGCAATACTGAATGAGATTACCCACTGATGTAGGTAGCATACGCCATGCTGTGTTACAGGATAGGGCTGCTATAGATTTTTTGTTGCTAGCACAAGGAGATGGGTGTGAAGATTTTGAAGGGATGTGTTGTATGAATCTCTCTGACCACTCTGAATCTGTTGACAAGAAACTGTCATTGCTTAAGGAGAATATGAAAAAGCTGACAGTTGTTGAGAATTCTTTTGATGAGTGGCTAAAATCCAGGGAAATAAAGGGATGGCTCAAGGACTTAGTACTCTTTGTTATTATGGTACTTTGTATTCTTTTTTCAATTCTGCTTATAGTGCCTTGCTTACTACTCTGTGTGCAAAAAGTAATTGACCGTGCTTTTAAATCGGTCTGGCTTGTGCAAAAAAACCCAAAAAACAGGGAACTGTTGAGAGTTTTTTGTAGACTGAGGAGTTTTGGCAAGACAATGACCATATTCAGCTGATACACAATCCAGCCTGCTTGTAATCGTGGACAATGAACACGTTCACAAACAATGAATAATGGACATATTCAGAAATGGGGTCAGTATATCCTTGAAAGAGATACAAGAAGAAGAATCATCAGCACTCAGCAAGTTTGTCAGCAAGCCTGGGAAAGTAAGAAAAATGTGAGTCATGGGTGGGCCAGACAACCACAGCAAGATGTGTGAAAAATTAGATGATCCAATCAGCATTTTAATTTAGATGCATGAACAGCTAGGATTAACCAATCATGTATTAGCTAGAGACACGTGGACAGTAGAGATTTATTATAAATATAGTCTTTTTAGGGATAATAAATTTGGCTTCACTGCATCATGTTGGTCATGGTGTGATGTCTCTGAACCTCTACACCCTGCAATGGAAGGCAATTAGATCGGTTCTGTGATGTAATTTTATGGAGTCCAGTGGGGAACCTTCTCCCTGCCTTCCTCCTGGTTTATCTCCAGTTGCTCTGTCCTGCTCCCCATGCTGTGAGTGTTCGGTGGTGGGGTGGGGAAGTTGGCAGGACACAAAGACCACTCATCCCTGAAGTGACTGCCAGAACTCGGGCTGGCTCTTAGAGCTCCGATGCCATGCCAGGAGAGGGGAACTGTCTCGGTATGGGGATTTACCAGAGGCAGAACCTTTATAGCCACTTGCTCTAAGGTGCCAGACACAAGCCACGACTGGGAGCAGGCACAAGAGGAAGGAGGATGCTCTCCATCTTGAGGTTCCACAAGGAACAGTTTATTCCAGATGAAGGGAGCATGACAAAGAGCCCCTAACTCTATTGCGCAAGGGGTTTTGTACAGATACAAGTCAGGGGGAGATACAAACAGCTAACCAATACGGAATCCTCAGGGGATGAGTGAGGGGATTACACGGAGTGCCCCAGGCCAGTTGGGGTAGGAGGGTGGAGAGGATGGGTCACATGGGCCAATGGGGCCTCCAGGAGTAGGGGAATTCCAAAGGGGTGTTGCAAGACAGGGATTGGCCTGAGGTTTAAGTGGCAGGGGAGGTTCAGGAATCAAGGGCTGGGTTTGACAGGCAGGGAAAGAGCTGGAACAAGGGGTGGGGAATGGCATGAGGGACAGCTTTGAGGGAGGATAAAACCCAGGGGTAAACCAGCTTGGGGAGAACATGGGGGTACAACAGAACAAACCACTTAACAAGGAATCAATAAAATAAATTCAATCTGCAACAGCCCCAATGTTCATGTGGCAAAACCAGCTTTTATTTCCCAAGCCCTTGCTTATATAGGGCATTTGAAAAATCCCATCTGGATACTTCCATAGTTCAGAACTCTACTCCCCTTCAGGTCCTGGCCAAGGAAATGCCTGCAGCCTTGGGAGAGATGTGACTGGGCAAGGCCCCTGTCAGTCAAACCAGGGGACGGTTGGTTTCTCTATCACAAACCAGCTAAAATACAGTAACACTGTGCCATCATTCATCCCTGTGCAGTGTACATGTGATGGAAGTTCCTACTGAGGTGCCATCACCATATACCAACTCATTGGCAGTGATGTCATGGAAAGGAGAACAAAGAGTTGATAATTTGGTTACTAAACTCTCACAATATGAAGAAAGTATTTTTTTCACCCTATGGGCTTGCATCTTGTCTGTGGAAAAGACCTCCAGCAACTGAAAGAAGTGCCCTATGCTCTACTAGCACAGACTGGACTCTATAGGGGCCAAGTGCCCCCTGCTCAAGAGAGAGGGGCACACCACAAGGTAACCTGTGGTTTTACTTGCCTGGCCATGGTGAAGACTGTGGGGAATTTAGCTGACTAGAGACTGGAAAAGTACAAGACCGTGGCTAATTCCAAGTCCTGCACCTGCAAGATAGCGTGTCCTTGGGCCTAGCTGAGTATGATAAAGAAATGGACAGCGAGACATGAGAAGCAGAGAACGTAGGCCCAAAGGAATGAGGAAGAGTTGATGGTATAGTTTAACCAATAGATTGCTTGGCTTACAGAATATTCATAAACTTATTATTTGCTGTATAAGTGTTTGATGCTTTCTTCAATAAATTGGACCTGTGATGAACCATCTGGTGTCCTGGTCCCCTTCCTTCGACAGAAGACATATGGAAGTTGGAGGGAAAACCCACCTCTTCCTTGGCAGCACAAGTATGTGAGTTGAGAAGAAAAATTAACCACCACAGAAAACTCTTCAAGGAAAAATGTCACTGCCCAGTTTCCACTGGGCAATTCTTCAGGTGGAATTGAAGGTCTGATGTTACTTCTGACCCTCTGGAAGGGATCTCCAGGTCATATTTACAAGAAGCAAGCAACAAGTACCAAGATCAGAGCTAGAAGGGGCCCTGGCTCCAGCCAGGTGTGGAAAAAGGACAGCGGGGTCAGTTGGACTGTGTGGATCCATGGCCTGGCACAGCAAAGCCACAGGAGCACAAGCTTTAGCTGACATGGGTGCACAATGCACCCTGATGCCATCATGCAGGGGCAGAATCCACCTCTGTTTCTGGGATGACAGGGGGATTCCAACAGGGACTATACTGGAAGCTGAAGAGCTCCTGACTGAGCATGAGTGGCAGAAAAACGCCATTGTTGCTGGCCTAGAGGCTGCTTGTATCCTTGGCACAGATCACCTCAGGAGAGGTATTTCAAGGATCCAAAAGGACACCACTGAGCTTTGGGAAAGCTGCTGTGGAAACAGAAGAAATTAAGACAGCTGAATCCCTTGCTTGGTCTTTCAGAGGACCCTTCTGCTGTGGGACTGCTGAGGTAGTTGAAGAACAGCAGGTACTGATGGCCAGCACAGTGGTGTCCCATTGGCAACATGGCACCAACTGGGACTTCAGCACCCATGGCACAGACAGGAAGACCAGGGCATTGGGAACAGCCAGGGCTTGGGAAAAGCAGGTACTGCCTGACTCATCTGATCTCTTGTTGCGCCCAGGTGACCCCAGTGGGTGTTGGACATGTGTGGGTGTGTCTGCCTGCAGCTCAGCAAAGCCTTTGGCACTGCCTCCATCTCCCTGCCTCTCCTGGAGCACCTGCAGCTCGCAGCTGGGACAGGTGCCTCTCGCTGGGAATGCCTGGCTGATGGCCAGGCCAAGGAGGAGTGGGAATGGGGCCACAGCCAGCTGGGGCTGGGCACTGCTGGGTTCCCCAGGGCTCAGCATTGGGGGCGGTCCTATTCAACATCTGGCCTGGGTGGACAGCTAGGGGAAACTGGGAGGCTTGATGGGGTCAAATAAGAAGTGTGGCTGCCCGCTGGGAAAACTGGAGGTTAGCTGGGAGGTCTGCGAGGCAATGCCCTCAAGAGACCCCAAAGTCCACCTGGGCCACCATGGGTTCACTAATGCCCCAATCTGCTTCTCCCAATGGATTTCATGGACAGTTGTAATCCTTGACTGACCCCTACTGGGTACTGGGAATCACAGGGAGCTACTGGGACCATGTTGGGAGACAACTGAAGAAACACTGGGAGCAAAGGGAAGATGCTGGAACCATGTTGGGGGTACTGGGACCATAACTGGGGCAACTAGGATCATACAGGGGGGGACAACTGGAACCACACTGGGTTCATACTGGGAGTGTCTGGAACCACACTGGGGGCAACTGGTATCATACTGGGAGTGATTGGGATCATGGTGGGATCATTCTAGTTGTGACAGGAATTGATTGGGACCATTGGGGGTGTGGCAGGGATCATAGTGAGAGTCGTTGTGATCATACTGGACTCACACTGGGAGTGACTGGAAAGCACTAAAATCATACTCCAGGGGACTGGAATCATACTGGAATCACTCTGGGCGTAAATGGAACCATGCAGATGACTGAGAGCAACGGGAACCACATGAGAGTGACTAGGATCACACCAGGACGATTACAGAGCCCGTACTGGCACCGCACGGGGACGGTAACTGAGACTACCCTGGCAGCACCGAGGCGCGGGGTGCCTGGGGGTGCGGGATCCTGGGCCTGGGGGTGGGGCCATGCAGAGTTATGCTAATAAGCCCTCGGCGGGCGGAGTCCGGTGTGGCACGGGGTGGTCGCGTGCCCCGATAGGCGCACGGAGGGAAGTGACATCACGAGCGGCACGGCGGGAGATTTGAACGGCGCGGCGGATCCCGGCAGTGCGTGGGGGCCCCGCACAGCTGAGCTCACCCCGACTCTCCCTTCCCCAGCCGCTGGGTCCCCTTCTGAACTCGCCCTGACCCTGCGGTGGACTCGGCCACACCATGCCCCGCCCCAAACCCACCCCCCGACGGCGCGGGCATTCCCCAGCCCCCCCATTGCCCTCGCCGCAGGCACGCAGTGAATGAGGGGTGGAGGACTCCCCTTATAGACACCCCTTATGGACCTCCTACATCGAGCCCCATTTCAGGTCCCCCTCTAGAGCATTCCTATGGACTCCCTCTGTTGTTTTTCTCCACCCCTAGTCTGCACCCTATATACCCCTATATGCTTCCATCACCTACAGTCACCCCACACTCCCTCTTCCCTATAGCCCCTCTACTCCCATTCTCCCTGTCCCTATAACTCCCCTATATCAGACATCACTTCAGCTCTCTATAGATCCTTTATACCCACAATGTCCCCCTGTTATGAACAAAAATTCAGTTAATATTTTTTTTGTGAGAAAGAGTTACAGGGACGCAGCCAGATCTCTGTCTCTGCCAGGGTTCTTAGTGCTTTGTTATTGTAATCACGGGTCGTTGTAGCTTATCTCCTCTTTTGTATTAGTAAAAGCCCTGGCTGGGGTGGGGTGATGGCCCTTCCCCGAGGCTGTGCTCTCTTCCAGCATAGGGAAGACACCTGAGAGGTTGGGGGGGTTATGCAATATGACTCCAAGACCAGCATGCTTTGAGACCTCGACTCCAAAATGCAACGAGAAAACCCCGAAAACAACGAGCCAAATAAGAGTTGAGAGACTAAAGTGATGTCTGGACATGAGGAGCCGATTGCTGAGCCTGCAGAGATGCGGAGTCCCTCTCGCCCTGACCATGGGAGTCGTCCCTGGCGGTGAGACTGGGCCGACGAGGCTGAGAGGACCAACATCTGACGGGGACACCACGCCCTAAAGGCTCCCACGAGGACCGGATCTCCCGGCTCTGCCCCGGTGGACAGAGCTGCGCATATCCTCCTTCTCTGAGTCACCCTGGGAGACGCGACGGGGACTGCAGCCCTGCCAAGCCACCCAATCCTGAGCTGATCACTTTTAATAAAGGCATTAAAAAGGAGAAGAAGTCTCCTGGCCCTGTTTATTTCGCCCCCAGACGTTACAGATCCCTTATAACCCCCATAGCCTCACCCTGTTCCCCGGCCCCTATAGCCCCCATAGATCCCCTATAGCCCCCTGTGTTCTGACAGGCCCTATAGATCTATACACCCCATGTTCCTTCAGAGCTCCCCATCTGCGCCCCCCAGGCTAAATAGATCCCCTAAAGCCCCGACAGACCCCTATCCAATGCCCCCACAGGGCGCCGCCCAGGGCAGCGGACATTGCAGGAGATCCGCAAGTACCAGAGCAGCACCCGCCTGCTGCTGCGCCCTGGCCCCTTTGCCCGCCTGGTGAGAACCCCCCACATCGCTAAAATCCCCAGACACCCCGATTTCTCCCCCAGAACTTCCCCAGCACCCCCCATGGACTCCCAAACTCCCCTGGGACCACACAGATCATCTCAGATACGCACAAAATCTACTGTGGGACCCCCAAACCCCTCCAGGCCCCCCCCCCCAATTTCACCCCAGAACCTCCAGCATTGTCTGAGATCTTCCAAACCACTTTGGATCCCCTCTCCTGGGATCCCCAAATCTGTCCCAGGACACCCCAGATCAACCCTCTTGACCCTGCAACTTCCCCCAGAGCCTTCAAATCCACCCTGGGACCCTTCAGTTCCCCATTGGACTCTCCCAAATACCCACTGCAACCCTTCAAGCAATCCCTAGGACCCCTTAAAATCCAACCCCAAATCCACCCTGAGATGCCTGAAATCCAACCTGGAACCCTCCAACCTCCCCGTGGACCCCATCCTCAATTTTCTAACCTCCTACAGACCCACCAAGTTACCCCTCAGAACCCCAGATCACCCCCTGGGACTCTTCAAGACCATCCCTTTCCCCCAGGCCCCCCCCCCCAACCCTGTTCCAGCCCTCCCCATGTCCTTGTCCTCCCCATCCTCGTGACATAGTGGGCCTGTCCTCCCCCAGTATCCTTGCATATCCTCCAATGTCGTTCTGTGGTTCCAGACATCCTTCAGAGGCTGCATGCATTGAGAGCTCCCTGTGCCCCTCCTGCTGTGCTGGCACTCTCCCCCTGTCCCATCGGGTGTCCCCATGTTCCCATGGCCAAGGGTGTTCCCAAGATGTTCCCAGAGTGGTGCTTCCCCCCTGCCTCCCACGTGGGAGATCCCAGGGTGTCCCCATCATGATGTTCCCATGTCCCCACTCCCCAGTGTATTCCCAGGTGCTCCTGTCCCCAGTGATCCTCTCCCTGGGGTGTCCCCAAAGTGTCTCCAGGGTGACAACAAGGGTGCCCCCAGGTCCCTGGGATGTCCCCAGGACAGCGTCACCACATCTCCAGGGCATCGCCATGGTGGTGTCCCCAGCCCGGGATGTCCCCAATGCCCCCATATCCCCTCCATGTTGTCCCAATGTCCCCGCACTCCCTCTGACCCTGCTGCCCCCATGTGCCCCCCTCACTGTGCCCTCCCTGCCGCAGGTGCGGGAGCTCTGCCTGCTCTTCACCCACGGGGTCGATTACCACTGGCAGAACACGGCCCTGATGGCGCTGCAGGAGGTGCGGCTTGGGGGGCCCAGGCGTGATGGAGGGAGGTCACAGAGGGGCTGGAGGGGTCCTATGGGTCCTGCAGGGGTATCCAGGGACTTAGGGGTGAAGGGAAGGGGCTGAGGGGGATCTCATGGGTACTGAGAAGGTTTCCATGGGGGTTGGGGGTCTGTGGGTGCTGCAGGGGGGGTCTGTGGGTGCTGGGGGTGTCTCTGGGAGCTGAGGAGGTCCAGGAAAGTCTCTTTGGATGCTTGGATAAGGCTGAGAGGTTTGCTGGGTGTATGTGATGGGAGCTGAGGGGGAGTCTAGGAGGATCTCCATTAGCTGGGGGGAGGGTCTATGGGTTCTGGGACAGGGTTCCATGGATGTTGAGAGGGTCTCTGGGTGCTGGGTGGGGGGGGTCCCTTACTCCCGGGGTCTGTCGGGGATTGAGGATGGGTCACTGGGTATCGATCTCCCCCTAAAACATTTACAGGCACAAGGTGCTTTGGTAACCCATGGGTGGGTTTGGAGGGACCCTGCCCCCCGGGTGTGTGTTTCGGGGGGTGACTCTGGGGGAAGGTGTGGGGGTTGGGGCATGCTGGGGAGCTTTGGGGACCCTCCCTCAGGTTTTGGTTCACAGGCAGCAGAGGCCTTCATGGTGAGGCTGTTG